TTTACTATATTACATTTTAAGAGTATTATGTAGGGCTGTTAAAAGTCCGATCCTTTCGGTCCAGACTTCGTAAATAGGGACTTCGATTAGGACCCGGTCCTTGAGTCGAGTCCATACATGTAATAATCAAAATAAATCTCGATATAAATTAGCCAACCATATAAATGCCTCCTGATCACAATTGGAACAAACGATATGCATTTGACCAATTACATGGACGCATATGGGACTTTGTCCAGGACAGGCTTGAGTTGGTCCTAAAAAGTCCGTATGAAGTCGACTCAAGGACCAGTGTAAAATTTTCTAACGATAGCACTATAGATCTAATACTAATTAGTTTGTAGGTGGTGCTACACGTATGACCTGTAAAATTGATAGCCGTCCTGGTTGTATCACGCAATATAGTATTAAACCTAGGTGCCGCACAAAAAATATGCGCCATATTCTCGATTTTGATTGACTAATGGCTGAAGATCTTCAAAATTTTGGCCCGCTTGTTATTTCCGGCCGGAATTAATTTTTTAATTTTTTCATTACAAAAATAGAAATTTTTAAAAAATAAGCCCGCACTATGGTAAAATTGGCCCAGGAACAATTTTCACTTAACAGGCGGCTGCGATTTCATTAGTAAAATTATAATTCCAGTCTGATTTTTTGATCATCGCTCTTAGCCAATCAAAATCGAGGATCTGCCGCGCATTTTTTGTGCGGCACCTAGGGTTAATCAAAATAATACATATATGCATTTATTTGGGGTTAATTACAATAAAAACTTTTTGTATATTGCCAGGTCATGATTTTTTAAAATTATAATTTTAATTTTTTAATTTAAAAAATTTTTGAAACTTAAAAATAAAATTCCAGGTTGCCGGGCTATAAAATTTTTTTGATGTTATGAGAAACAAAAAATTAATTTTATATGGCCTAATATAAGTTATATATATACAATTGATATAATTTATGGCTTTGCCACGGAAATTTTAAGATTTAAAGCACGTGAATTATAATCTTGAATCCAACCAATCAGAACTAATATCTCGATATATAAAAATCGGCCCAATAAAAAGATAACGATAAATTATGGTAATTAAACGAAAACGCAATTCGAATCCGACTGCTCCAATTTTGGTGACAGGGACTAAGCTGGATACTACGACACATTCTAATAAGGTTGAACGTCGAGGGAATCGAAGGCGTCGAGGACTTACACGAAAATTCGGGGTTTTTTCAAACCTTGCTGAATCTTCGAATGCAGAAGAACTTGAAATTAGGCGTTTAGAAAAAAAATTAGGAATTAAATCGGATGGCAAATTGACGAAAGCCTTTGTTGAAGATGGATTAGACGGTATACATTTTTTAGAATAAAATATATTTCATCGGGGTGACCAGTGTTTAAAATTTAAATGATTTTATATTTACACCGCATTTTTTGAAATGGTTGAAAATGGGAAAAAATTTTTTTTTCGAGCATACCCGTATATTGTATACCGGATTACCTTAACACCTTGATTGAAGATCAATGCTTGGTTTACTTATTGTTTCAAACAATAAGTATGTATGGTAATCCGGTATACGGGTATACTCGAAAAAAAAACTTTTTTCCCATTTTCAACCATTTCGAAAAACGCGATAAATTTTTAATGTTCACTGATTAAAATTTTTTTTTAATATCAAAAGAATTTGTTTAATGATCTCAAATAAAGAACATATTTTAATAATTTATGTTCTCAAAAATTGTGTAATTTAAACATTGGGTGACAGTCACTGGGTGAGAATGACCTGTCATATGTAACAAAGAAATTCTTTGCAAAAGTATACTATATCCTAACCCCGTTCCTATGTGGGGAATGGACTAGGAAACCACCGTCTGACACTTGCTTTCAGATGGGGGCTTCCAAGTCAATTCCCCGTGTCATAAACTACTATTTAATTCGGTTAATGTTACCGCCGGTGTCAAAGCATTGTTTCTTGCTTTTAAATATTGTTTATTATATATAGATTTATTAGAAGGATTTGAGATCGGCTCTAAAAGGTCGAAATCAGCTAATTTTTTGAAGGATTCAGGTTCAGAGCAAATTAAGGTGAATTCTGAGTTCTGAAATCCTATTTTTTGGAGCTTTGCATCGAAATTTATGTTTATTCTGATTATTTCTTAGGATGATGATACTTTTGAAGCAGAGGAATCAGAACATTTTGAGGATTTCAACGTAATAGGCGAATTGAATGAAGGTGAAGACAATCTTTGCGAAGTCGATGTGACTATTGAAGAGTTTGATGATGTTCAGCAGCTTGAACACGTCACGAAAGTTGACTCAGGTACGTATGTACAACCATTTCTTATACATAAAAACGAGTTCAATCGGTTTTAATATAAAATTAAACCGATTTCAACTTGTTAAACTTAATTATCACAAATCATATAGTGATGATCACATGTGATATCATCGTAATGCGTCAAATCGGCCATATGTTTGGCCATTCGCCAAATATTTTTTATACACGCCACTCTAACATTTTCCAATAACAAAGAAATTATTCGATACATCCAGATGTCGGTTTAACTAGAGGTCTTCATATGGTTCAAAATTTTAAAAAATGTCGATATAACCAGAGTGACGTGTATAGTAAAGTCAGCAATTTGATTAGAAGCTCTTACTTGGCCAAAGTTTGGCTATTTGCAATTGCTGAAATATTTTCTACGCTTAAAATTTGCGTTCATGATGGATCGCCGGTATTATTCCTGACAGTAGAGGTCGGATCGTGAATAGAAATAGATATTCATTGAATATTCAATATTTGGTTACACAAAATTCATGAATAGTCAAAGGTTTGTAATTGATATAATTGATTCGTTTATACTCATGAATATTTGTGTGAATATTCATGGTTATAATAATAGATGGATATCCATTCAAAATCTGGATATTCATTCAATGCTATTCGTAAACATCAAAACCCGCGAATATTTACTGAATAGCCATGATGATATTCAAAGGATCCAACCTCTCTATCTGGGCAGGATAAGAAAAAAATCAATTTGCATACCGTTCCAATAAGGGTTTAAAAAAGAGCATCTAAGACACTATATTACTATAGTGAAATATATGGAGAGAAATTAGCTTTGTAGGTTCCCCGCAGGAGCAGTATTTTCTCTTTTACCCTATCAGGATCAATACCGCCGATCCATCAGGAGGCGTTTTTGTAACTTACAGCTGATTTGAAAATTAGTGACAAATTTGATAACTATTTTTCAGTAATAAAAGTGTAGTTTCGATAATATAAATTTCGGCTGGTAAAAGAGGTAATGTACCGGCCGGAATTCATATTATCGAAAGCTGCCTGTAATTTCGATAGCTATAATTACCAAAATGTGCCGACGACGCGTTTCACTAATTTTCAACTATAAACATTCTTGCATTTCAACTTTTTTGATCACATGGGGCACTAGATGCGATGTTAAATAATGGATAGTAACATGTCTTAACATGTGATGGCTTAGCATCACATCATTGTGCCCATGCGATGATTGAAATCAAATTCATTTTAGAACCCATGTATAATGGAGAGTTAACTAATTATATTCCAACTCCTTTAGACAAGTATCTTCCACCACATATTCGTGATAAAGCTCTAGCCTTAAATGTTTCAGAGACTGATAAAATTAAAGCTGAACAAAAAATACGGTTACAACGCCAGTTTCAAGGATTACTGAACAGGTGTTTATATTTCTCTTTTTAGTGCATTTTAGGTCCGTATAATTAATCATGAATTGTTTTTACTACAGATTAAGTGAATCTAATATCGAAAATATAATTGTGAGCATAAAAGAATTATACGACAAGCACATACGACATGGTATCCTATTGAATAATTATTATTTATTTTCTTATGACTCTTCTTAATATATATATAATATATATATTTTTAATGAATGGCAGATGTGATATCGACGCTTACAAATCTCGTTTTGAATATGATCTCATCAAAGACAATGCTTTTGGATCAATTCGTAATTTTGTATGCTGCTTTTGTTGCCGCATTGTATAAAACTATAGGGATTGACTTTTGTAGGTTTAAATATATGGTCCATTAATCATAGTATTTTTTAAATTATGACTGCCATGCAATAGATGTTCATGATATTATTCCTTCTTTCTATCAAAGGTGCAAATTTCATACAGACCCTTATTGAAGAATTTGAGGGTTTCCATGGCCAATTTTATAGATCAATAGACACAAAAGACATTGATTGTAATGCTGGCAAAGAGTGTATCAACTTAATTGTTCTCATATCCGAACTCTATAACTTTCGAGTTGTTTCATGCGTATTGATATACGATATAATTCGGGTATTT